TCTCCTCAAAATGCTTGCTTCACCTCTCCCTTACACTGCAGAGACCAGCATCACGAGGGAGGAGTAGCCTGCAGTCTTGCCCTTGCTGTGAAACCGTTGCAGAGACACCTAGATGAGTTTCCTCGTGCTTGTAAACTTTTTTTTTGTATTGGAAATGTGCAGAGCAAATGCAGGGAGGTGAAATGAAAAAAACACCAAACAACAAACTCCTAAATTGGAAAAAAGACTCATCAGACAAAAATAGTTTCCAATCAGCAAGGGATTTTTCCCCATTAAAATACACTTCAAGAAAGTGAAAACAGGCTGTTAGAGACAAGCTAAGTTGAGCAGAAAAAATCTCTGGTTTAGGTTTCTGTCCAGATCTGATTACAGGCATGACATTTGGCAGCTATGGTTGTCTGCCTCTCGAGGAGCATTGTTAGCCTTTTGTCTTCTTTAGGAAATGAGGGGATTTGCCCTCACCTTCACCCTTTATTTAGTGAAGGTAAGATTTCACCTTTGTCTGCTGTTCTGTTGACTGGATAAGCTCTGCAGCTGAGCATTTTGGAGCTGCTTGAGGTTTTAGATGGCCAATGAGACTTGATTTCCAAATCTTTTCAATGAAAACTTGACATTAATTTACTGTGCAATGTTTATTTCAAGCTGAAATTAGCGGGGTTTAGACATCTTTTGATGTCTATGTCTGCTATAGACTGAAAAGTTTTTGTTACCACTTACATATTGTATCCCAGTGTTACTCTGTTTTGCTTGAGAACTTTTGCTTTGTTTCAGGAACAGATGCAATGCTGCTTGAAGATGATAGCTCAGATGGCCCTCATGCCCCACACTGCATCTGTCCTCCTCGAAGGAGGAGCTCAGTGACATTTGAAGATGAAGTAGAGCAAATTAAAGGTGGGTTTAGGAGTAAGCATGGAAATACTCAGAACCAACTGTATTGCCTGCTCAGGAAACCTCCAAGGACCTTCAGAATTGCCATAGAACATTTATGACCACTGTTCACTTTGACAGACCTGACCATTCATGCAGGTACAAGAGAAAGTAAGATCGGACCTTCCGATTCTTAAGTACTGATGAAAGAAGTCAGAAGCTGTGATTCCTTGCATATGCACTTATACTGCACAGCAGTATCCTCTCTGCAACTCCAGTCATCTGGTGGCTGTTGCAGTCTGTTTTGTGTTTCTCAGGGAATACATTTTCCTGCCCTCATACCTTGATTCCATTATCCCAGTGTTTCTCACTTGCTGCCTCCTACCAACTTTGTCATTCACAGACTTGAAATTCTTCTATTTACAGATTTTAATGGTCTAAGCGTAATTTTATTCTGTTTCATTTTTTTTACTTAATGCTTACTTCACTCATTTTACTGAGTATTTTTTTCAGCAGATGTGGGTGAAAATAGGTGAACTACAGGCACTTACTTTTTAGTTAACTTGTTGATTCTGGGCTAGCATAGTCTTGCTGTGATCATCTGTAAAATATGGCAGTTAGTTTAAGCTGATAGCTACAATAATACGGACTAAAAGACTTGATGATAACAACTTAATTTACTAAATAATAAATTATTGTGGACAATACAAAAATCATCAGAATGCCTCTAAGAATCAAGTAGTAATGAAACCTGAGGATTTTTATGATTCTGAAATAATGAGAAGACTCTTTCTGTGGAATTTTCTCTTCAAACATATTGGTAAAATTCACTTTTGTCCACTTCCCAGCATGAGCTGATTCTTTTCTTGGACGAATACATTACCACACATTTCCTATTATCTTTCTGAATGATTATAGAAGGGGAAGGTCTTAGTGCAAAAGTTCCCCACAGGTTTAGCAGTTGTCTCTGGTATGTCTTAGGATTTTCAGGATCTCTGAGATGTTACATTATTACAGCAGTGTCACTGAAGAACTGCATTTAGGCTGAAAATCTCTGTTGCTCAGCATTGTTGGGTAGGGAGGTATGTAGATGCTACAAAAGCAATGACATCAACACCAAAGAGCAGGTATGTCCGAGGTAATAAAAGGTTAGAAAGAGGTACACTACTGCCTACCACTGCAGTCTTTAGCCTTTCCTGGTATGGAGAGCTCTACAGCTTTCCCACTGGAAGTACAAGTGTATCCCACAGCATGGCTGGAACAAATTCAAGCCTTAGAAGAGCAGACTGCTGATTTTAATAACTAATCACTTGGAAGAAGCCTCTGGAATTTGGGAAGTCTTAATCCATAAACACAACTCTGGTGTTTAGACTTTAAGTACAGTATAAAATAGCTCTTAAACTGCACTGTTTGTGGCAATGAAGTGTGAGATCTTGGTCCAAATGCACTGAGAATCCCTGAAAGGCTGTAGGTTGTGTTGACAACAGAGAAAGTACAGATAGAGAGTTCTGTCTTCTGCATGAAGACAGAATTGCTTGATGCCAGACAATCCCCTAATACTGGCCTCTGGGTAGTAAGCAGAAATCAGGCTGTTGGCTTCAGCTGGGCACAAATTCAGACCAATAAAATCCTGTGTGGCCAGGTTCAGATTTGGAAGATCATTCAACATGCACTTAATTCAAAGTTAAATGTGTATAAGCACTTTGCTTCATCAGGTTTTATTTTTTTATTCACTTGAATTTGAACTGATCTTTCTCTGCTTGATTTATCAAGGTAACTCTGAAGCTTTGTGTTTATAGAAGGGTTTAGGAACCCTGGGTATCATTAGTAAATGCACCTTGTAGGGTAGTGATTTTGGAGAGGGCATGAACATACCTTTAGAAAAGGATAAATATTAGTCTTCAAGCATTTGCACAGCCATGCTGACCAGCTGTTAATTTTCTGATATGTTGCTTTTTTTTTTTTTCTCTTTTCCCAGAAGCTGCAAGGAATTCTGTTCTCCATGTAAAAGCTGAAGTCCATAAATCTCTGGAGAGTTACGCATCCAGTTTAGCAAGAGCTATTGAAGCTGATGTGAAGATGAGCTTGTTTGGCGAAGATGCTTTAGCAGGAGCTCTGTTCCCTGTGCGGGCTCTGCCAGGAAGTGGTATGAACACACGGCGTGGAATCAAGCCCCATGTTAGCCAAAGACTTCAGCTGCAGAGCATTGATGAAGGGAATGTTTAACAGGAGCACTGGAGTAAGAAAACAGAATGAAACCACTAAGCAGGGCCTACTGCAGCTGTTAGTGTTTCAACAGAACCAGGATACCTTGTCAGGATTTTTCAGGTGTTTTTCAACACTTGGAAACCAGCTGAATCCATCAGCATTTTCCAGCAGTATTTGTTTACTGTTTAGGGTGCTACTGACTTTTTTGTGCCATGTCTTAAACCTATCACACAGTGCATAGGAATGCAGGGTTTGGTTTCATTGACCAAATTGTTAGTCTGTTGAATATTGAGTCCGAATGAAAAAGGAAAAGTATGTGCAGTGGTTAATTAATTATTGCATTTCTCCTTTTCTGACCACCAGAATCATCAGCTTATATGCTGAGCTGGAGTGCTCCAATAGGAGCTTATGCATTGAATACTACATACAGCCTTATTCTCACCAGCTCCCAAATGAGGAGTGTGGGCTCCCCTAAGGGACTATACCTGAACCTCTCAGAGAACTCATGCAGATGAAAGTTCTACTTACCCTTGGTAGCAGGTGTTTCTGTTTGTTCAGCTGTCAGAATGCTAGATCTGAAGCTGGATTGTGCGTTACTTCTGCTTGATGACACACCAGCTTCTGCAGATGTAATGGGTGGGAGCAGAACTCTGCCATACTACAGAGATGGTATTGGAAGAAATCTTCAGTGCAGAGTTCTTAGTTTCTCTGAGAACTTCACTTCCACAGTTCTGCCTTTACTAAAAGGGCACTCTTGTCACTGTGGTAAGCTTGACAGAATATAAATAAGGTTTTACTACTTCATATTCAGGATTCCTGTTTTCTAGAGAAAAGTTCAGTGAGGATTTGTTGTGGTTTGTTTGGTTGTGGGGTTTTGGTTTTTTGTTTGGGGTTTTTTGTGGTTTTTTTTTTACCATGAGGGAATGTAGTATTGAAGCTATAGTTACCTCAGTGCATATATTTCTTGGAGTATTAATTCATTAATCTCTAATGTAAGAACAATTGGCACTTGTATTGCACTTTGCATGTTCTTAAGCACTGTACAGGCATTACCTTGTTAGGCCTTTGTCAGAGGGTTGGCCAGCCCTGCTTGCCAAAGAAGGGGAACTCAGCAACAGCCAAGCTTCTGGCAATGAAACAAATCTGCAAAGGTGGGAAAGTTTGTTAAGAGTGATGAGGTGGATCCTACTCTTGTGCCTGGCTTGAGGAACCTTTCTGTGCCTTCCTGGGCTGTCCCTTTCCTTACTTCCTTGGCGATTACAGCACTGCCTTACTGCTTGTTTCAGAGAGTGGGAGACATAAGTGACTAGGATCATTTCTTGAGGGCAAGTGTCAGTAGCAAATGGACTTAAGGACCAATGATTTGCATTTTTTTACCTGTCTGCTCCCCTGCCCCTCCACCTTTTCCTAGAAGTAGTTTATATAAGTTTTTGATGCAGATTGTTTGGAAATCAGGAGCAGGATTTTTTGACCTGGGCAAAAACTGGGTATGCACTTGCTAAGTTACAGCTGTGTGCGGCGTCGTTGGAGGCACAGAGGCAAACTGTTCCTGAGGCAGAGTCTCAGTCCAATTCCCTGTGTAGACATTCCATTTGCCTGTGTTCCCAACTCAGAAATATATTTCAGCACGAGCTTATGTCCATCTCTGGAAAAAGCAGCTTGACTTTATGAACCAGCCTGAATCCTGTTACATTCCCTTGTAAGCTACAACTGCATGCTTAAAATTCACTACGTGGTTTGCTGATTAAGAACAGGCTGCTGAAGCAAGAACACTTAAGCACCAATACGATGGTTCTTTGCATAACACAGGCATGAAACTGACTAATAAGCAAAGCCATCACTCTTGTATTCTTTGCTTCTAGTGTGTTAGATAAATTGTCAAGTCATTAAAAATTAATTTTTAAAATCCCAGTATTTGCCAGGAAATGCCCTGCACCAAGGCCATTGTTGCTGTCACTGACATGACAATCACAGTTGCTTGCAGTACTCAGCACTCATTAAGGTATAGACTCGAAGTATTTTATCTGCATCCCTTTTATTTTTCATATTCCTCCTGCAAAACAAGCAGAGCAAAGTTGTTGCTGGGTGTGAATAGGGCACATGTAAGTACAACTGCACTGTGGTGGAGTGAAGCTGGGGCTAGCCCCAAACGGTGTGTATTCAGGGGGAAAACCTCTGAGGGCAGGTGTAGAAGCACAGAATTGGTGGTACAGTGTAAAAATCCATGTTTTCACCCGGGTGCTGAGCCACGTTCAGCCTCGGGGCAGGAGTTGCATCAGTTCACCCCGTGGTTGGACTTGGCTGTCAGTGCTTAATTTCACTAATCTTGTTATTCGGTGTAAGTGTTGTTAATACTTCTGTACACACGATATAACCTCGGCGTGATCGTTATTTACCAGAGTCGTTATCTCACCTGACTTGTCATTAACGAAAGTGGCAATCAAGAAATGCACACATTTTGTAAAACTGTATCCCCCATCTTAAATACAAGAAGAAAAAACCCGACCGTTTCCCGCCTCCAGCTCTCCCTGCTGTCGTTTCAAACTTCAATTTTAAATTAAAAAAAAAATGACTTATTTTTTAAAAAAAGCGCACGGAGCCCGGGAACGGCGCCTTCCCCGGGGCGGGGAGGGGTCCTCGGGGGGGCGCGGGGCTCCGGCCCGGCCGGGCTTGACGCCGATTGACACCGATTTACGCCTATTTACACCGATTTACGCCCATTTATACCCAGCCCCGCCCGCTGCAAAACGCGGGGCTGCCGCTCCCTGGCGCTGGCCACGCCCCCTTCC